GATGAAAGGTTTGTCACTACTTACTCATGCTACTTTGCAGGTCCATTAGATGAAGAGGAGCCATCACCGTATGATGAAGCAAAAGGAGTTCAAGAGTGGGAGGGCGCAATGAAGGAGGAGATGAATGCTCTCATGAAGAACGAAACTTGGGATTTGGTTCCAAAACCCAAGGATGTCCAACCCGTTTCTTGTAAATGGGTGTACCGAATTAAACAAAAAAAGGATGGGAGCATTGACAGATTTAAGGCAAGGTTGGTTGCTCGAGGGTTCTCTCAAAAATATGGAGAAGATTATGATGAAACTTTCAGTCCAGTGGCAAAGATGACTACGATACACTCACTTTTATCTTTAGCCGCAAGCTTTGGTTGGAAGTTATGGCAACTAGATGTGAAGAATGCTTTTCTAAGCTTTGGTTGGAAGTTATGGCAACTAGATGTGAAGAATGCTTTTCTATACGGAGAGCTTGATAAGAAAATCTTCATGGAGCAACCGCTTGGTTTCAAGTCACGAGAGCATCCTGATTATGTCTGCAAGCTTAAAAAGGCTTTGTACGGGTTAAAACAAGCTCCTCGAGCTTGGTATGGAAAGCTTGCTCAATTCCTTCAGTTTTGCGGGTATGTGCCATCAAATTCTGATCCGAGTCTATTCTTCAAGAAGAATGGAGGAGTCCACGTGGTGGTTCTTCTTTATGTGGATGATATGATCATCACCGGGAATGATGATGCTGAAATTGCTCGTCTACAAGAGTATATGTCGGTGAGGTTTGAGATGAAGAAGTTGAGTGAGTTGAACAATTTTCTTGGTTTGGAGGTCGAAAGGGTAAAGAATGGAATATTTGTCGGCCAACAAAGCTACGCAAGAAGGATTGTTGAAAGGTTTGGAGTACACGAAGGGAAGACACGTACTACTTCGATGGACGTGAACATAAAGCTTAAACGCGATGAAGGGTCCTTGCTACCTGATCCTAGACCTTATCGCTCTCTTGTAGGAAGTCTTCTATACTTAACCATTACAAGACCTGACCTTGCCTTCGCGGTGGGTCTCGTAAGTCGGTTTATGCAAGAACCAAGGAAGCCACATCTAGAAGCGGCAAAGAAGATTTTGAAGTATGTAAAGACAACTCTTGGCATGGGTCTGATGTACAAGTACAATGCCAATGTTTCTCTTAATGGTTTCACGGATGCTGACTTTGGTGGAGATCTAGATGATCGAAAATCAACTTCAGGGTATGTGTTCTTATGTGGAGACACAAGTGTTTCGTGGTGCAGCAAGAAGCAAGCAACGATGTCATTGTCTACCACTGAAGCGGAGTATAAAGTTTCAACACTCGCAGCTCAAGAGTGTATATGGCTTCGAAGACTCCTTGAAGATTTGTTGGAGCCAATCAATAAGCCGGTTGTAATTTATGGAGATAATCAAAGTGCTATCAAGTTGGCTAATAATCCGGTGTTTCATGCAAGGACGAAGCATATCAGTTAGAACATCATTTCGTACGGGAGAAGGTGCTTGATGGAACAATTGAAGCTTTGGAGGTTCGAAGCGAAGACAACGTTGTAGATATCTTCACCAAGTCACTACCAAAGGGCCAATTTGAGTTACTTCGCTCGAAGCTCGGGATGGTTGACAAAATCAAGTTTAAGGGGGAGTATTGAAATTAAACTTGATTTTGGATCAAGCTTAATTTTGGGTTTATGATGAAATTATTCTAAGTTTGACCAAACCCAAAATTAGGTCCAAATTCTAGAGGATTTCTAGAAACACTCTAGAAGGTTGATCACCTCCTTAAAGTGTTCTAGAGAAATCTTTAAGCTAAATATCTAGATAATAGTATAGAAACATCTAGATAATTTGTGATAAAATATTTAGATATTATGTAGAAATTTCTAGAGATTAGAAAAATATCTAGGAACTATGGAGGTGATATTAGAAGAATCTAGATCCTTTGTAACATATCTTTGAGAGGCTATAAATACCTCCTCACCTCTCACATTTGTAAGTAAAAAGAAAAAGTTGAACAAGTGAATAAAGCAAGTTCAAATAAAGAGTCTTCCTCTTCATAAGTTCTCTACATTTATCTAAAAGTCTTTCAAGTGTTCTCTAAGTGTTCTTCATATTCTTCTTCATACTTAGAGGTTTATTCTTTTGGTTTCTTTCGGGTTTCTCGGGTATTACGGTCTTGGGCTAGTGCTAAGCACTATCGGTGTTATCTTTACAGATGTGAATTTGCTAATATCACAATGTACGATCACTAGAAGAAATATTCCTAGCTGAAGCAATGAAAAATAGTTAATCATATTTGGAATAAATTAATGCCCCACAAAAAATTTAGATAAAGTGAGATCAGGTTTGAGAGATTACCCAAACCTTGCAGTGCGATCGATGACCATTGGACTTTCTTAATTTACATTTAACTTCATACTCCTACAAGAGTGCAACATGGATAAATTATATACTGAAACAAAGATCTCCTAAGATTCGGATCTTCTCCAATTAGTTGTTAACTGAAGAATGTCCAATTCCTCCAATCATTATCTTACATTCTGAATTCAAGGGACGTGATTAGCCCCGTAGGATCTCATTATTGTTTTTAGAATCACTATCACAAGAGTAAAATTCTATATCACCTAATCTCTTTCCTTGAATTCAGAATATACACTAATTATTAGGGGGTGTTTGGTTTAAGCAAAATTTTGGCATTTGGTATGGCTTATAAGTTCTGGGATTAAAAAGTGAGTTATTTTGTGTTTTGAGATTCTCTATTTGGTATATGTTTTAAGAAAATTTTTGGAACGTTGAATCCCAAAAATACAAAAAATACCTAATTTTTAGAATTTGCCAAATCCTCTCAATTGGAGAGGATTTGGTAAATCCCATAAATGAGTGTGCTTACCTCTCTTTTTATACATTTGTATTTTATTTATTTTTGGAAGGTAACCTCACCAAGATAATCATGTTCATCTTATTTTCTTTTCAAGAATTTGTTATCCTATAATTTGGGTTTGAACCAAACAAGATATTATAAAATTTAGGATTTGTTTTCCTATAATAACGTTGAACCAAACAAAATATTAGATATCCTATAACATGTATAAAACCCTATGGATTTGAAATTCTCCATGATATTACAAATTCTAAAATTTTGGCATTTGAACCAAACACCCCCTAAGAGGAATTGGAGCACTTCCCAAAACCACCGGGCTTAAATTGTAGAGATCCAATATCAAGAAAAGGCATATATTATATATATATATATCATATATATATATATATATATTTATATATATATATATATATATATCATAGTCATATAGTATATATATATATATAATATACCGGGAGATGTTCCTAAATAAACAAACTCGCTTAGCCTAAAAACTAAAACCCATCCTTCATCCAAACTGGCTAGGATTCAGTCAAACCAGTCCAACTAGACCAATGCATTACCTACGCGTCATTAACACACATGTATTAATTATCAGTCAACGGCAGTGAACATCTGGAATTCACTGCACGTGAATCTGGATTCACATGGCAGTGAACTGGATTCACTGCAGTGCAATTCGAGATACGTTGAAGGTAGTGAATCTGGATTCAGCTGCGTTGCAGGTAATATTAATGCAGTGCTGATCTGTTGCACATGAATCTTTCAGCGCATTGGATTCAGTCTAGATCGCCAACATGGATGAAGGAGGTTTTTCAGTTTTTAGGCGAACAAGGTTTTTATTAGAACACCTCTCGCTATATATTGATATAATATAATATATATATATATATCATAATATATCATAAGTATATATATATATATCATTAATATATAGATATATATGGTAAAAAAAGTCCACACGCAGGTGTCGTTGGTCGCTTGGACTTGCAGCTATCAAGCAGGCACGGAGAGCACACCAGAATGAAACAAAACTTGGGAAGAGTTTTTTATTGGCTTAATTGCACTTAAGTGCCATATAATTTCCCCAAACTTGCACTTAAATGTCCTATACTTTCAAATCAAACAAAAAAGGCCCCCAAAGTGTTAAAATATTGCAGATGAATGCTCCATAGTTATAAAAACTCAGATAACGTTATCTTTTCTCCACGTCACATAGCAGAGCGTACTAAGGGGCTGTTTGGTTGCACACTTTTTGAGAAAACTTTTCCCAAAATATCTGACAATGGTAATTTTGTAATTAAAAGTTTTCTATAGATTTCTGTAAATTGTGTTTGGTTCAAAATATCTGACAATGGTAATTTTGTAATTAAAAGTTTTCTATAGATTTCTGTAAATTGTGTTTGGTTCAACAAAAAATTTATAGAAATATTTTCTATAAAATAGGTTCAACAAAAAATTTATAGAAATATTTTCTATAAAATATCAAAAACTACCAAATTTTACAAAAAGCAACTTCCTCTCAAAATGAAAGGAAATCAACAGGAAATCTGACACCTTCCTTATTTAATCAACAAAACCCGTCCCATACCCATTTTCTATAAAGTTATGAGTCATTTTCTTGTTTTGAACCAACCAAGCAAAGTATAAAAAAATAAGAAAATTGTTACTTTTTGACTTCTCAAAATTTTTCCTATAATTGTTTAAAAAATACAAGGAAATCATATTTTGGGTGGAAAATATTTTCTATAATTTATAGAAATTGAACCAAACACCCCCTAAAGTGAAACTCTTAGAAACTTAGGGTATATAAGTGAGGCCGTTTATAAACTTTGGGGTATTTATATACAAAACATTGGGGGAAGAAGAAAACACTAATATGTAACATTTTGAAACTTTGAGGCATTTATCTGCAACACTTAAACCTTTTAGGATACTTTTTTATTTTTTAGGTTTGAGAAAAGAGATCACTTAACTGCAAGGACATTTAAGTGCAATTAAGCCTTTTCCTTTTTTGGGGTTGGGGGAAACACGAAAAGTAACATGTCACGTGCCAGCGTGAGCGGTAGACGTCAATTAGGACTCACCAGTCATTACCTAAAAGGTTGAGCGTTTCTGTGAGATCTTATTATTTGAGAGGACGTTATAAAATTGGGGAAGAAGCTCAATTGGCCGCTTGCGGATGGCGATGAAGGGTTTCTTCCATTTCGTCGTCTTCGTCTCTCCTCAATCTCTACTCGAGTTAGCCTCTCCTCGAGATGATTAATTGGTATGATCGCATCCAAAACTGTTAATTTTATGTTCATCTATTCCTTCAAAATTTTTTTTTTGGTTATAGGCTGATCAGTTAGATTTGATGTTTTTTTTTTCTTGAGCTTCACCTTTCTAATTTGTTGTTTGGTGCTTATTTTTTTTTTAATTGTTGCTAGGATTGATTCTTTCTGTGCGATTGTAGGGTTTCATATGTTTAATTCCAGTTGTGACTTGATACAGTAATTCTTTCCTAGATTTGTTCTAGTGAGTAAAGAACATCTGGGGCATGATGTTTTTTTAAAAAAAAATATGAATCGAATGAGAGTTTTCCAATTCGCTTAATGACACGCATAATATAAAGGTTTGGTTTCAACGAAGCGGATGTAGGTTTCAAGAGCTGAATGACAAGTATTTATGGTCCAGTGTCGATACGGATAATTCATGTGATCCATCGAAACCTTAGAAAAGGATGTCCTGAAAAGTAGCTGGTGGTGCTGTTTTATTGTTGTAGATGTTCTGTTTTGAGTATTTTCTTCTAGTCGTTAGGGGTTGATTATAGTGGTCTCAGATCTGTGGAAGCTACAGTTTCATGGTTTGGACAATTCGGATATGCGTGAGCCTTTCATAAGGAGGCATGACTTATTTCTGATCATGGAATTTCCTTGTTTTACCATTTCAAATTAATTTTGCGCCCACAGATTTGGCGTGTAAAGATCCTGTCTTGAATTTGTAGTACGCTTTGTCAAGCATATGGAGGATAGCTGGACTACGATGCTTGTAAAGAGCTTGAAATATGTTGGTATTTTCTTTTCCTGAAGGTTTATAAAATCTATATGACACTTACAGTGCTACAAGGATACTGCTATACATAGAGTTTGATTTATTCCTTAAGCTGGATAACCGACTTTTCTTATATACATTAGCGGGGATGCATACAAGCTACTGCTTAAAGTTGCAAGTTTGTCCAACTGCATTTAACACTTGTGAAGTCAAGATTGTATTTGCAAATTGCACATGCTTCTCAAGCTTATTTCCTGTTCTTAGGTGGAGCTATTCAAGCAAAAGTTTGAAATTTCCAGCTTGGCTAATTACTGTCTCAGATGGGTTGCTGTATGACAAATCTTCTATTGTCAACTTTGTAGTCTTTCTTATTTTTGTTGTTGTTTCTTTTTTCTTCAGGGTTGTTTTCGGTAGTCTTGTGCTGGAGAATGAGACTAGCTTGTAAGATTTGACCTTGTGTCCTCATCAATTTCATTACCGAAACGTTGATGCCCGCACACATAATTGAATTTTCCCACCATCGCAATGTGGAGAAACTGGGGTTTCTCTTCAAATGCCATATCTGGAAGTTCAGGGCCAAAGAAAACCTGCACTAATCCAACCACATCTATTACTGATTGCTCGGATGACGAGGTCTCTTCATGTGCCAGTAGTGAAGAAGGGCTAGAATGCCCGATATGCTGGGAGTCGTTCAATATTGTGGAGAATGTTCCTTATGTTTTGTGGTGTGGCCATACCCTGTGCAAGAATTGTGTCTTGGGGCTTCAATGGGCTGTAGTGAAATTCCCAACCGTGCCCATCCAGCTACCTCTCTTCATTTCCTGCCCCTGGTGCAATCTTCTATCTTTCCGACTGGTTTACAAAGGAAATCTCAGGTTCCCACGCAAGAACTTCTTCCTGCTCTGGATGGTGGAGAACATGAATAGGGACAGAGTTACATCTCGTTCGTGTCGCGGGGATCACCATCCAGCTTGGCCTTCCAGTAGTGCTACTACTCTACGCTCGGGGGCTACTAATGGATACCACCATCACCATAGCAGACGGGCTCCCATTGTGCGTCAAGAGCAGTTCAACCAGAATCCAAACCAGGAGGACCAATTTGGTAGCTACTTGAATGTGGAGAGGATCAATGCTTCATTGAGGAAGTCACTAGCTTTCTTCGTCCACTTGACAGCCAAGCTCCCTTTGGTCATAATCTTTCTCCTAATAGTTCTCTATGCCATACCTGCAAGTGCTGTAGTTTTGGTGTTGTACATACTGATAACTATCCTGTTTGCCTTGCCTTCTTTCTTGATATTGTACTTTGCCTACCCTAGCTTGGATTGGCTCATCAGAGAAATTATCACCTGAAGATATCCTTTGCAAACGTCCACCTACATAGCTCACTTCTATTCTTTAATGTTTTTATTGGATTACCAGAGCTATTGTTCAGCAGAGAAATTGTCGCCGAGGTATTTCTTTCAGCCAAGAAAGCCATAAACAAGTTGTTGATTCCACTCCGAAGAGTTTCGGCATTTTTCATTGCAGAGTGATACTGGTTTTGAACCAAGTTCTCATCCCCTGACGTGCAGCATGCCTCTGAAGTTGATTTATGCAGTTTGAGGTGTGGGATGTACATTGTAGAGGAGCTAATGTCCCGTTAAAATAACCAATTTAACCGCAGTGTCTTTTTGTTAGACTTGTTTATTTTTGTTGAAGTATCTTGTGTTTGTTTAAGTCATGAACAAATCATAAGCTGTTGTAGTTCTTGTGGTGCTGCTTTAAGTCTGCGTGTCCAACTCATGGGTTCAAGGCGTTTGCATTGAGCCCTTTTGCTTTCCTGTGCTTATAGCAAGTATTCGTGCTTTTTTTAAGTTGATGATAGCTTTATGGTGTTCAACAGCATCCCCTCAATCTACTGTAATGCTGAATTGAAATTAACTGATTTGGCTTTGGCTGTTCTTTTGAATCCAAACTGTAGTTATTTGCGGTCTCTTGAGAGTTCTGGCTTGTCTCTGCAGGCTTTCAGTTAATGTGGCCTCTGAGGTTGTGCCCAATCTGGTGATGCTAGTGCTCGACTCATGCTGGTGCTCTTCCCATCAGGTTAGTAGAAAGTTGAACATGTTCTGTTTAAGCTGCTGACAGCTTCATGTTCTGTTTAAGAGTGCAATTTACAATGCATGCTAAGCTTGCACACAATGATTCATATGATTCAAGTGAAGTATCATATTTTCTGCTGTCGTACTAAAACAAAGATGCTTCAGTGTGCATCTTAGAGGCATGAAATTGATTGATGTTTCAAACCACAGAACTAAATTCTCACAGAATATGAAGGGTGACATAGTAACATGAACTTAATTAATTTTGTCGAGTGCCTTTATGATTGATTTGCTGTTTGTTTAAGGTGAGTAACAATTACTTAAAGAGGATCCGTTTTTTTTCAATAAATTTCAAGTTATGAAAAGTGGGGGAATATATTTTCTGATAATTTCTAACCTTATGTTTTGTTGGAAATAGGCTGTATGCCATTCGCATATAATCATCGTTGTTGTCCCAATACGTAACACTTGTTGGATACCAAACATGATAAATTCATAGGAAGAAGCTTATAAGTGTGCTGGGGCCTATTTCTTACATTTAAGAAAGAGTTTTTTTTCCTGCAAAGCACCAGGGGTCATTTTATTATAGAAACCACCTTTCATTTTTAATTTTAACGTAAACTATCTTTAAAGTAGGTTTTGTTTTAATTAACCATCTCCTAACCAGATCTTCACTAAAAAAACAAAAAATAACCTTAAAAATGCACCTTTAAGGTAAGCGACTCGTATCCTAACTAGACTTGAACGTTAACGAAGTGAGTTACGAGTGTTGAGTGTGAGTTTTTAAAGGTACTTTTGGGCTTTCAGTGATTTTTTTTACTATGAGGTGGTTGACTAGAACAAAAATCCACTTGAAAGGTGGTTTATATATAGATTGAAAATGAAATCTGGTTTCTGTAAAATGACACTATTTTTAAGATGGTATCTAGGGAAAAAACCATTTAAGAAACCAATTATAATTTTATGGGTAAATTACACTAAACCCCCAAGAACTTTTAGCGTCTTCCACTGAACCCTACAACAATTTTCAAAATCACACCAAACCCCAGTAACATTTGCAGAAAACTTGCATAATTGACACCGTTAAATCTAATACGACAAATTGAGATCACATGACTTAAAAAGGCCAAGATATCCTTTAACTTATTTAAGACTCCTTTTATGAAATTTCATTAGATATTCAACCTTAAAACATTTCCATTCGCTCTCCTTCAAGCTCGCGCCCAGCTGGTTGGGGTTTCAAAACTTTTTTTTAACTGATAATTTCTTTGAAAACTTAAAGATTTATGCCTTTTTTAATGTTGTTCTATTGTTCTACTTTTAGCAAAGTTGATTTTCTTTATCAGTTTTTTCGGGCGATGGGTTTTTTTCTTCCTTGGAACCTATGGACTATGAAGCACGGATACTTTCCCGGAGACCAAGAATCCGTGTCTCACACAAATCAGATACGGATTCGTGCACGACACGCGCAAGACACGTGTCGGACACGGGTCAACGGAGGGGGGACACGGCTCTGATTCGTTAAAAAAATGAAATACAAAACCCGTAACCAAACCCAAATCCAAAAGGGAACCCTAACCTGACTCTCGACGCCGCAAGCCAAAACCTCGTCCAGCGATCACGTTCTCTGGCATCTCGTCGTCGATCTCCTCCACCCGAAGCTCGTCGTAGTCGATCTCCTCCATCCGAAGCTCGTCGACGTCGATCTCCTCCACTCGTAGCTGCTAGGTGAGATCTCTAACTTCGTCGTCGTCGTCGATCTCCTCCAGCCGATCTCTCTAAATATTTTCGTCTCTCTCTCTCTCTCAATTTCTCCATCTCTCTCTCAATCTCACCCTTACCATCTCTCTTATCTTCGTCCCTCTCTCTGTCTCTCTCTCTTATCTCCGCCCCCCTCTCTCTCTCAATCTCTCTCTCTCTTAACTTAATTTTTTTAAAGACTTACTTTTTTGTTTATGTAGGTTTGTGCTACTACTGATTGGTGAGCAACTGAGCAAGTCACTACTAACTCACTTCATTTGGTATTTTATTTTTTTCAATTTTAATTTCAATTTCAATTTTAGTTTCAATTTCTTAACATATGAATATATTTTTCAATTTCAATTTCATTTTTAACACAAATAAATTATTAACATTATACAAATGAATTATGAATATTAACATTTCAATTTGTTATGGGCCTATGACAATGAATTATTTGTTAGTCAATAATTTGTTAATCAAAAAATTATTACACAAATGAATTATTTGTTAGGCAATGAATTATTTGTTAGACAATGAATTATTACACAAATGAATTATTTGTTAGTAAATAATTTGTTAGTCAATAATTTTGTTAGTTAATAAATTATTACACAAATAAATTATTACACAAATGAATTATTACATAAATGAATATACATATTTAATGAATGAATTATGGATATTTATTTTGGCAATTATGTTGGAAATTTTGATTGATCCTTCATCCATCCTTGCTTCGTTGCTGCTTAACTCTAATTATAATCTATAAAAAGAAAAACAAAGTCAGTGAGCAACACCTTATTAATTAGTATAATTAGAAAAAGAGCTTAAAATAGTAATTAGCATGCTAACTAATAAATTATAAATATGTAAATATTTAGTTGTTAATCACTTAATTCGTAATTAAAAAACATATTTCATATTTTAAATGAAAATACATATTTCTTGCATTGTAATTTGTACTTGTTGTTTATACTAAATCGAGATTTTGGTATGTTTCATATTGATATATGTTATGGTTTAATATTTAATTAATACTTGTTACTTGTTGTTTATAGCAATGAAAGCAGAAGGTAGTTCTGCTGCATAGTCTGTTCAAGATGATCACACTCCTTTGTGGAAGTATGTCACGAAGTTGGAGAAGATGGGTAAAGGAGGGGGGAATTGGCACTGGATGTGTAGTTACTGTCATGAAGTATTTACATCCTCCTACTCAAGAGTCAAAGCCCATCTAATGCGGATTAGTGGGCAGAGAATTAAAATGTGCAAAGGTGTTAAGCCGCACAATTTGAGAGACATGCATGTTTGGTGGAAAATTTGTGAAATGAAAATGAAAAAACTGTGTTTGATTTTATTCTCTCTAACTGCTTAGAAAAAGAATGGTTACAACTCTCTCAATCTCAATTATAATTTTAATTTCCTGATTACAAAAGAGAAGAGAGTTGATCTGAATTCTCCCATTTGTTTAATTCCGGGTTCTTCACGGTGGCGATGAAGTACCTCCCTTGAATGCTAGCATCGAGTTTGCTCTCCGTTGACGATTCGTACGTCTCGATTCACTGGAACTACTAACTTGTGTGATAAGTTTAAAAAAAGAACTCTTAACGAGTTTAAGAACTCAGAGCGAGTTGAAACTTTGTCAAAAAGAGTTGTTTGAACCAAAAATTCGGTTAACAGCCAAGTAGATTTTCTGTTGCTGAAGGATGCTCCAAGATTTGATCTTCTCGTTGCAAAAGATCTGATCTCTTGAGGATGATTGCCCCTAGATCTCTCCTTTTTTGCCAAAAATCCAAGAAGAACCAGCCGATTCGAGCTCCAAAAAATCCAACCCTTACTCTGTTGAGTTTGTTGGGGTTTTATAGGAGAATTAAGAGTGTAACTGACCCCTTAATCTGCTCCTAAGTGGGCGTGATTTCCTCAGATCATGGGGAATACGGTTCTGAAACCGTTCGGCTCATGTTTGAATGAGTCAAACGCCCAGGTCGGTGTTCGGGACCCTAACTCTACGTCTTAGGCTTGAGACGCAGAGTTGGATGTCTACTGGATGTTGAAAACACAAGGACTGCTTGCGTTTCATTTGCTGAGGGTTGGAAACGTAAGGGTCGCCTGCGTTTCAAGAACTGAAACGCAAAGGTGAGTTCTGCGTTTAGAAGGGGCTAGTGACTTGTAACCTCTTCTGTAAAGTGTTGCAAAGACCATTGTTCAATAATCTTCGCTTCAGCTATTTTGAGGTGTGAAAGTCGTCAGATTATTACTCTCACAGTTGATGGTAAAGACCACTGAATAGAGTTTTCATCAGTCATCAGAAGGGTCGTTGAATTGTAACTCCTCTCGATCTATGTGAAAAGTCCTCCATTTGCAGCTTTCGTGAAAGTCATTTGATTGTAACTTTCGTTATCAAAATATTGGTTAAGGTTTGATAGGGGCCAGCTATCTGTCATGATTTTTAGACAGCCTACAGAACCGCCTCCAAAGTTTTCGAAAGTTCGCGGTTGACTGGGACGAATTTTCGAAATACTTTGGATCTCGAGATTTTGTTGATTGATTGTTCACTCCGTCTGATTTGAAGATATCGTGGACCTGGTTGTTGGATTGTAGTGATCCAGTTTCCTTAAATCAAACAAGCTAACTTTTACGTCTTGATGACAATGAACTTAGTCAAACAAGCAAAAGCCCATCGTTATTGAACCAAACAAGAACGATGATGATAACAAATTTGTCTGGATCTTTGAAATACTCTACTCAACTTGCGAAGATGTGTATTCTTCGAAATTTGTCTGGATCCTTAAGATACTCTACTCAACTTGTAAAAATGTGTATTCTTCGAATTTTGTCTGGATCCTTGAGATACTCCACTCAACTTGTGAAGATGTGTATTCTTCGAATTTTGTCTGGATCATTGAGATACTCCACTCAACTTGCGAAGAGGTGTATTCAATGTATAGAAAATTCTTGTAGGCATTAATGAACACTCGACGCACAACTGCGGGCATTAAGTAATTATAAAAGAGCCAATGATAGCGAAGCTATCATCGAAGCGCCAACTGCAAACTTGTTAACGAGGTCTTCTTCAGTGAGGTTGAGCACCTTTTGGCTTTATTAATATTGGTTGGAATGTTAAGCCATTCAGAAGAATGAGTTGCGCGACGGATCGAGCTCGATGATTTCAACATCATTGACTGTAACCTATCTGTACTCATCCAAGAGGCTGCATAGTTACTTGTCATAAGCCAGTTTTTACTCAGCTTTGGTCACCTTGATGACCAATGTTAGCTTATCTTTATTTATTTGAAGCTATGTCATAGCCTTGGTCATCGAGATGATCCTTTTGTGGCGTTTAAAATACATAAGTGGACTCTGTGCTTGAGAATTGGAACGCAGGGGTGAACTCTGCGTTCGAAAGTTCAACCAACATGAATGCAAAGGTCGCGTTTGAGCAAGATTCTAGCCTAGAATCTCGTCCAAATTTGATAGCTTACAGCTGTCTATAAATAGACCGCTAGGGTTAAACCAAGAGTCATTTGACTCTTCTCCATTCTTCCCCGAGTTGTTCAACAAAGAATTTTGTTCTTATTTTCGGTGAATAATGTTTATCTTCCTCATCAAGCGACATCAATGGCGTCCAAGAAGAAGACCGTCCCTCGACCCATCAAGCCCATTGTCGTCGTGACTCAGAGCTAGCTGTCGTCTTCACCGGTCGGCGGTGTTGTGACTCAGGCAGGCGTTCCGCCGCCTTAGTTTCCTTTAGTCGGTGGTAAGTATGACCTTCATGGCCGTAAAACTTGCTACGACGAGTTCTGAACTTTGAATCAACGAGGAGACTCATTTCAATGACATAACGCAGGGTTGGGACTCTGTCGTTTGAAATTTGAAGCATGAGGGTTTCGACCTCCGCGCTCAAAAATTTACCAACGCATGATTCGATCTCTGCGTTTGATTTTGCCGACGTAGGGTTCGATCTCTATGTTTGATTTTGCTAACACAGGGTTCGATCTATGCATCTGATTTTGCCGACGTAGGGTTTGATCTCTGCGTTTGATTTTGCTAACGCAGGGTTCGATCCTTGCGTCTGATTTTGCCAACACAGGGTTCGATCTCTGCGTTTGATTCTGCCAGCGTAGGGTTCAATCTCTACGTTTGATTTTGTTAGCGCAAGGTTAGATCTCTGCGTTTGCACTTGCCAATTCTAATTTTGATCTCTGCGTTTGTTTTTCCTTTGCACTAACTAATTATTTTCTTCGTTTGCAGTGTGTCACACCAATGAGCCTCTCCCTTTCCGTCATTATTTTGGTCATGAAGGTGGTGTAGATCAAAATATGACATTCAATCTACACCAAGAGCTCCATGTTTTCCGTATTACTAACAAAGACCGTGTTGAAGCGATCATTCAGGCTTCTTCTGAAACTATTCGGATATTGGTCACGGATGCCAAATTTGAAAGTCTAAGCCGTAAACCGTTCATCAAACCCCAGCATTCTTCTTCGGGGACTTCGTTGACTTTGAAACAGGTGTTGCTTATGATGGAGATGACAAGTGGCTGAGGAAAGTTGGAGACCGTCACCTCTTCTTGCCTTATATGGAGAGGATATACCCGATATTATATTTCTAGTGTGCTTCCATTCCAAGGCATATGGATTGGGACCTTATCAAGGAACAAGACGGAGTTGCCCTTGGAACCTTAACTTTCCAGGGGGTTCGCACAGTGGGTCATAATAGATAAGTGATAGCCTTACGATCAGGCTTGTTCACTAAAGAATACCCAGTTGGTGAAGTGACCAGTCCGACGAATACTTTTGTTAAGAGATTTATGGCGAAGAAAGGAGAATTTTCTGCACAAGTATTCAGATCTCTTGGCTGGGTTCATTCTTCGGTGACAGGGTGGTGGACCCGAATGACCAATTTTATTTTGGAGGAGTTGGAGACACTCCTTACCCAAACTGTCCTGAAGGTTCCTATGAGGGCTACTAAATACGGGATTATCTAGAGTCACTATCACTTTTTCTCTATATTGGAGCGATACAACCCTGAGACTTGCACCTTTTTTACTCCAGTAGGGGAATTGGGTTTTGCTCTTCACGAGATGCATAACATCTTAGGTCTACCTTTCGGAGATTTACCATATGAAGAATTTATTCTGGGATCAACGGAACTTAAAATTTTAAGATAAACCAGCCCCGAAGTTTACTCCACTCTCTGGGAAGTTATGTGTCACTTTCATATCTATATGCAATAGACGGGGCTCAAGGAAGTGGTGTAAAATAAGTATCTTAGGTAGAGTACTTGTTCCAGAATCTAACCAATAAGGGAGCTTCAGTGACCAGACTACCTGTGAGTACTTTGGAGGAGATTCAGACCCGAATCGATGCTGCTACCTCTCATTATACAAATGAAGCCAAAGAGGATATTTTTCCTGCTTACACAGAGTTTGAAAGTTTTCACTATCAAGCTCACATCCTTATCTCAGATATGACACTGTTGGCGGGATTTCTGATGTTGTGGTTAAAGCAATGCGTTGTCCCCACCAGGCCGGTTGATGCTCTTGTTGCTGAGGCGATTTACCCAGCTGTTCTTTTGGCACATGGGAGGCCACTGAACCTTCTTTCTGCCATGGTGTGCTGTCTACAGAACGGTTTACGGGAGCTAGCCTTGAATTTTGTTCATGTTACGAAGGTGGAATCTGGTGATGGAAAGACTTTTAAAACTCCAAATCCCCGAGTACCACTGCCTTATACTTATTTGATGGCTTGGTACGTGTCTCACTATCCCTCACTAATGAGTGCAACCTCTCCCCAAGGCGATTCATTCACTCCCCTTGTATGTGCAACGATTGGAGTCAGCAAAGTGGGAGGGGACTTACATGGTTAGGATCCATCAGATTTTGTCAAGGGATATACTAACCATCACATCTTCCGTTGCTTCCCCGATTTTGAAGGTGGGGTATACGGAGCAACGTTCCAGGATGTAGCAGGTCCTAATGGATTCACTCAGCTGAATGAGGGTGTTTTTCGTTGGCTGCTCTACATCAGATCAGGTTACTTGATTTTTCGACAAGGTGGAAAGGATTTCATCGAACCCTATCATCCGTATAGATTTGCTCGCTAATTTGGATATGACCAGCTATACGTCAGGAATGCTCGACCTCAACTTGCGATTGTGGGCAATCTATATGAAGAAGAAGGATGGAAGGACTTGCGCCAACATTTCCTTTTCTTATTGTTATTGGAGAAGGAGAGTAGAAACTTTATTAGAAGAGGAGAGAAAAGGGAGATGATGTCATAAGGCAATGATGAGGAGGTGGAGGTGTTAATAGTGGAGAGAGAGAGAGAGAGAGAGACAGAAAGAGATGGATGAGGTGATGGAGGAGAGGAAGATCGAAGGGACGGTGGAGAGGTCGGAGGGAGGCCCAAAGGACGAGGCTCAAAGAGTGGAGAGAGTGGGAAGAGACGAAGAAAGAAACATGTTTTTGGTAAAGATGGAGGAGGTTGGCAAGGGTATTTTGGGGGGTTTTTTATTTCTTTAACAGAATAGTATGTATAACGTGATGGTTTGGCATAAAGTTAATATGTGTGACAGGTGTTTACATGTGTAGGTATAGATGGAAGCAAATGTGTTTGAAAATAGGGCTTTTTGTCTTTAGGTCCAATAGTTTACCCCCCTTTATTTTTAAACCCAAGTAGTATTAGTTGTATCTCTAAGCCCAAATTTCTTTTTGTATTTATCTTTAAACCCAATTCCAAAATATAATACTCTTATATGTGGGTCCCCCTATATAAGAAAATTGGGTTTAAAGACAAATACAAAAAGAAATTTGGGCTTAGAGATACAACTAATACTACTTGGGTTTAAAAATAAAAGGGGGTAAACTATTGGACCTAAAGACAAAAAGCCCTTGAAAATAAATGCGGGTGAAGCTCCGAGCTTAAAGAACAAAGGGTAAAAAAAAAAAAGGCCTTTAACCCCAACCTCCTATAACTGAACTTTTAAAACGCCTCCGAGTTTGACCGAGCAATCGATCGGAACCACGTCGAGTTGTTTTCTCTGCATCCGGAGACAAGACCGGCTCCT